GACCTATACAGGTTAAAATAGAGGCTGTAAAGAGAAGGCGAGACACCTGAGTCTCAAAAAATCGATTGATTTAACTTTTATTGAAATCGGTCCATTATTATACCAGCAAATAAATAATTTCACAATGTATTAAAGTTTTGCCATTTTTAAGACAATATTTATATTTTAGTTGATATACTGGTATATATTCCTATTTTATCTTTCAATATTCCGTGGACAGAGGAATTAGATCCACTTAAAACTAATCTGCGCCGCTATGTCCTGCAGTACAAATTAAAAAATACCAGATGACGATTGGACGAGTAGTTCCATATGAGCCAACCTTTTAAAAAAATTAAACACTTTTCATTCTTATATATATATATATATATATACCTACTTATATAATATAGGTTATATTTTATCGGAAACAGCACATGCAGCCGACCCAGTGTGTCATTTTTATGTAATTAAGTCGAGGTAATAGACCTCGTTGCACTGACGAACGTACCGACGACGGGCGGTTTGGAAAGATAAAACGGAAAATAAACGAGCATATAACTATATTTCCGTCCTATTGGTTTTATGTCAGGTTTATACCGAACGTAAGCCTCCTACCGAGAAAAGCTGGTTTATACGCGATGGTAGCTCCTACATTTCCACCCCTTCACCAAACCCGACTCATATAATACGTAGAAAACGCTCGGGAAGCCGATTCTCACACTCCCCGGTGCTGCAGAGGGACGAGAGAAATAGTCCAAGAGAAAAGAAACCGCAGCACCCACGGCTGCATGTTTAAACATGTCGACATGAGGAAATACTAAACGTCATATACACAGCCTAAGCAGGTATATTATCTTTTTAATCTTCATACATATTATATACACACGTAATTCCAATATGTGGCCCGATCACGTCATAGTTTTGTTCCGGCCTTCGAGATAATTTGGAGAAAAACCAAAAATTTCGTTATGTTGTGGCAATATTATTAGGTCAATGTAATCGTCGCGGTCGTCCTGCATCACATATATAATAGCTGGCGGGTACGAGATTCTTTCCGTAAAAAATAGGTTTGGTCTGCAGAAGATCCGGTTGTTATAAGTCGTTTTATAAATTATAATGATATACACCATAACACCGGTCGTGGTTGTAAGTTCAATATTGAATAATATACGGTATATTTTTACAACTAGTACCTATATATATATATATGTTTGATATTATTGTGTCGACTGGAGCCTATTTGTATTACGTATTATATATGTGTGCTTATAAACAAGACTTACAAGACACTTATAATTAAAATATATTATTTTAGCAGCCGCGGGGTTAGAGCTTCGCAAAGATGATAATAATTCATTTCCCCATTAATATAGACTTTTACTCTACAGTAACAAATATCTATCAAACTTAATTTGTTTGTTTGTTTTTTTTTTATGATATCTGTAAGCTAAAAAAAATGTTGTTTGTTCATTAATTCTACATACTGTACGACGTATAGTTATCCCTAATCTATGTTATATTATGTATCTTCTGTACTATTTGCCCTAGGGGGCGTTACTATATCAGTAAATAAAAATAAAAATAATAACAATTTAATATAAAATGATGTACCTACGCGATATACGCCGACGAGGCAATCCTAATATTTTTATAGTAAGAGGCGACAGACACGATCCCGATGACGCAATGTGTAATACGATGATCATGTGCGCGCTCATACTCTAAAAGCAGGTAGTGCCAATATTATATTATCATTGGCTCTCTAGTCAACGACAATTTTATAAAATATATAACACATTTAAATTTTATTTTCTGAAAAATGTTTCCGCTATAATGTTTTGAAGTCCTGCTATTTATAGCTATATTATGTACACAATATGAAACTACCGAGTGCACATAGTGTATTATTCGATTTTTTCAAATTCGCTTTAAAAATATTATTTAAAATTGAATTTGGTAATAATTTTGGTAACTTATTTATGACAAATACATGGGTATAATTATAATATGATTGAGGAATGGGGCGCTTTAGAATACGACGTGCGGTCATTAATTGACAGACACACGTTCGATCGACCATCGTCTTTTCACAGCAGATGATGCGGCATTTTGCACTGCTGGACCAGAAGATACATTAAATTTGACCGAAATGAGATGATTGGTCTGTTATATGGCCGAATATATACTCAAGCGTTTATAGTGACGTATAGTTTTACAACGTAATTATATCGTTATATAGTGTCATTATATTATATATTTATACTGTCTAACTCTGTTATAATATAATATAGGTGTAGTTTACGACGAAAACGTTTAAGCCGATATCTAGCTATTTCGATTATTTTACCGTGTTTTAGAAGAAAATAATAATTCTTTAATATATAGAGAGATCCGGAAAATGTCTACCCATTATTATCGATAATGGTATTTCATAAAGACGCTCGGAGATATTACTTTCAAAAATATTTGACCGTTTTTGAACCGTAGAAATTCAAAAAATATCTATTTATTGCGCCTAAGCATTCGAATTGTGTCTGATCCACCAAATGTTTGAATGAGATTCCTATGATACCTCGTATACATTGCACGGTTAATTCCAGAGCCATGCCAAGGGAGTGGTAAAAGTAGTAACATATTAATGGGCGACAAATGGTAATATGTATGTTTAATAGTGGCGCCAAATATTATTGCCATGTGGTATCAATGAAATAGTTGGCATTCTATAAATCACGTTTCGTCAAGATTTTTACTTTTGTTAAATTTAATAATTAATTACTAATCAATCCGTCAAATAAATTTACCTCATATGACATAACCCATATTGATTGTTATACAAGAGTATAACGAGTTAGAATATCCCGAAAGTAAGTAGGTATTCTTCAAATTTAAAGTTACATAAAAACAGCTGTCTTAAAAAAAAAAAAAAATCGTTTTCGATATCCGACCCGACGAGGTATTTTTAATGCCAATCGCCAATATTAACAAACGACCATAAAAACACATTAACAAAACGAGAAGTAGTTAAAATAGGTATTTTGAGCTCATCTTTTTTTTTTAAACAGGGAAAAAATAATCCGACGGTCAAACATAAAAAAAGTTTTCTCGTATTAATTTATGAATTATGATGCAAGTTAATACTATACATATAGTTGACCATAATAATAGAAAGGTTATTATTATTATTATTATTTTTTTCAGAATGACGAAAGTGAGTACAGCCGACTAATGCCATGCGTAGGACATGTGTACAGCAGGCAAAGGAGGTGAATAATGGTGTAACACCCTTTTAATTTGTTGAAAGCTGCACGCGTGTAAACCTGCAACCGCTGTCTCGTAACTAACGACAGTTTATTTATTTATTATTTTTTTTTTACAAATTTACGATCGTTTTTATTGAAATAATAAAATTTAACAGCGCTATAATGCCGACGACGTTACGCTGGCGGTTAACTAGGTCTGAATAAGTTTATGTTTTCACGTCTTTTCACTACCTATTTTAGTGCTTAAAGTTTTGTGAATTATTATGATATATATATATACCTATATCTATTTCTATGTATTACTATTATTGTAGTGCGGTTCTATGGACGACTAGTCATTATTGCATTTGAAATATTTTGTAAAAAGTGTAATACACTCCGAATACAATATTGTTGAGTAATTACATTGGTATACCTAACACATAACTTAGAATAAATACAGGGTGACTCAACAAGCATTCTTACTCCCATTTTCTCCTTCGAAAATGCGGATATTTACAATTCGATTTTTGGAATTGTTAACAAAACTTAAAGGGCATATTTTTGAATTCTTGAGATTTTATTTACTACTTAAGAAATATGGGAGGTACCAGGTGCAAACTTCTGTTTTCAAATTAGATTAACTTTTTTTGTGGATAATTTTCCTGAGAAATTCGATGAATCAGAATCGATATTAGAATATTTTAGTAATTAATATTAATCTATCAACATTAATAATTTGTAAAAATGGTCCGAGTATAATAAATACTAGACCTATATAATTACGTTTATTTTATATTTTGGTAAAACCATTTTTATGGACCATTATCCTTATTTATACTAACATTTAAATAACTAAGAAACTACTCAATCCACTTTTGAATCGATATTTAAAAAAAAAATTCCCACTTAATAATTTATAGTAAATAAAGGGAGGGGGATTATCATTTGAAAAACGGAAATTTGCATCTCCACAGGACATTCCTCAAGTAATATAAAAAAATCAAGGGTTTGAAGAAATTGTCTTTGAATATGTTTAAATTCTAAAAATTAGAATTAGAATAAATTCTTTATCGAAGGAAAAAATGGGGGTGAGCATGCTTAATGAATCACCCAGTATAACCAGTCATATTTATAAGTTAACAGCATGTTCGTTTACTATAATAGTATGTACATAAATATAAATACAGTAATAATGTTATTATTAATAAATAATAACACACTACTCTACACTGCAATTACGAGCAGTTTTTCGAACTAATGTTGCTTAAAACGTCATAAATAACGATAATTAGCGCGCGACGAACATTATTATTAGCATATAAAATATAAATTATAGTACGGTATCGAATTCTCTGTTTGCTGTACACTCGCCGGCAGTTTGGTAGTTTTTAAAATTATTGGAAAACAATATTTCGTAAAATATTCAAACTTTCTATACAGCCGCTGTAGCGGTGATCATTACTGATTACCCGAAACTATATACATAGGTGTTAATGTTAACCATTATATTTTTTACGGCACCGTCGATGATGGTCGTAATAATAATACGTCCATATCTATGCGAAATATCAGTTATAGGGTTTAATAAAATATACAAACACGGGATAGCGTCTTGCGTAATTTTTCCGCAAAACCTCCATATAATAATAATATTTTTGGCGATCCTATCTTTATGTGCGACGCGCGTGTATAATATTATTATTATAATAAGTCGTTAAATTACTTTTTCCTTCAAAATAATTAATAATGTATTCTACAAACGGATTTCGCATTTACCTGGTCTCCTCATCGATCACAGGAGTGATAGACCCGGTCCTGGGCCCATAGCCATAGTATGAGTTGTCGTCGAACGACGAACCCCCCGGAGACATGTACGGGGCGGCAGTGTACCCGCCGGTCCTAGAACTAGCCCTCTCCGGCGACGACATGTACCCTGAAACATAATGTACTGTTATTATTATTATTGTTTATTAAACACACCAAAACCGCAATTTTACATAGTAAAACAAATATGGTAATTAGGTGTATACAGGTGTATGATTATACATATAGGTACAACAATATCATAGAACACATAAATAATAACAAGACAGAAATAGTTTAAGATAACAATAATGTTAAAAAATATGCATACCTATATAGTTAACTAGTATTTAAACAAAAGTAGAATAGTGGCCTAAGGATTGATTTTTTATTTTTAGCTCTGAGAGTTTGCTGTATAGAGTATGATTATGCCCATAAGAGGTCTTGTGAGTTGGAACATAAAATTGGGATTGGTTTCTGGAAGAATGAGAAGGAAGCTCTAAAAATAATAGCGGCAAGGAGTTCAAGAACGTCTAGAGAACCATTTACAACTAACTATAACTAAATATAATTCAATAATAATGTGGTCTATTAACTATATCAATTTTCATATTAGTGTATATACATGATGTGTATAATAATACTGATGAGTCTAGGGGTATGCTCACGGGGGTACAAGAGTGTAATAGCCCTCCCCCCATTTGGCTTATTTTTTCAAACAAAATATATGATACAGCAATGAATGTATTTATAATACTTGGTCTGAGAATGGTAACAAATTCTTCCCCCCCCCCCCCCTTTCAAAAAAGCTGAGCTCGCCACAACGCCCACAACCGGTGATTGCATCAGAACAGAAAACAAATATCTTTGCATAATATGTCTCCTGTATGTAGTATATACCTATAATATGTACCTATAGTAATCACTATTCGATATGCCAAAAAATCTCAACACGATCAAAGCATTTATTATGTATAGCAACTAGTACGGCGGTGCATGAAAAGTTTGTTCGAACGTTGAGAATAATGAAAATTGAATCCGATCAAATATATAAATAATTACGGTAACTTTTTGGATGGCATTGCGTAGTCTTATAGGCTCATTAATCATGATAAATGTCAACGTTTATAATTACTTGAGTCGGGTTTACTGAGCCGCACATAATGTAGAAAATATTATTTTTAAATCAATTAAGACTTAAAATATCAAATATTTGAAACTAAAAAATTTCAGTTTTTCCAAAAGAAATGTAATAATTTTACCTAGTAATAATATACCGCGTGTTCACGAAAACAGGGTGCACCGCGTAGCTCAGTTTCTTGTATCACTATTAGCACTCTAAAAATATTTTTGAATTCTGTTTGTGGGGCACGAGTCTAAACTATTGGGTCATAAATCCCTACGAATTACAATTTTTTAATTCTTTTATGCTGCGCATGAGCAACTTCAATTTTCTATGTACCTGTTGTTGTGGATACGCTGCAGTATATTTCCAGTTTTCAATCGATAAATCGTTTTTAAATACGATTTTTATTTTTACGAATTACTTTCCATGTAGGTCTGTGTCATACAGTTTTAGTTAAAACTCAAATAATGTTTTTGGTTCAAAATGTAAAATGTTTTGTATGTACTGCAAACCAGCAGACGTTAGTTAAATACGTTTAAATAGATTTTTTAGGATACCAGTAGATATATGAAAATGCAATATAAATAATGTTTCTCTATTATTAAATAAAATGCGCATAATATATAATTTATAGCTAATTTCAGAAAATATTGTATATATAGTTGAGATTATATCGCAATATTATGATGTTATTACCATGTCATCATTTTTACGAGAGAAAACGCATGGCGAAAAAAAAGTAGCATTATTAAAAAGAAAACGAGATTTATCATTGTTTAATAAAATATGTAGTTTAATTATAAAGTTTAGATTAAAAGACAAAATATATACAGTTATAAATTTATCAAATTGTACAGTACAGGCGATAAAAATAACTTTGATAACTTAACATTCGTAGTTGTAAAACGACATTATATATTTGGCTACAATTAACTATACTAATATATTATACACTTACGAGTTACGATATTACGGTTGAAACCAATGAACACCGGACACTCTCGGTCGCTGAAATTGTGTCCACTGTACGGGGGGTTTAGATCGAAGAAATTGTGTATAGCCGATTCCCAAGAAAACGACCGCTATTGGGAGGTGTCCGTTAGGGGAGGTTTCACTGCATTGTTATACGTTATTTACTTAAGTATTAAGTATATATTTTGTTGTTCGCATTTACCGTATAATTGTTGAAAAAAGTTGCTGGACAATTAAAATCTAATTGTAAGATGATTTAAATTTTGAAAAAAATCGATGTGAAAACTTTAAGGTACAGATTACAGAGTGGCGGTATTAAAATAAGCGGCAGGGTACATTATCGACGGATGGAAAATAAAAGTTTAAAATGTAATATACCAAAACGTACAAAGTTCCTAAACGATGAACGTTTACCGAGAATAATGTCTGTCGGTATTATGAATTATGATAGTCGACAAATAATTCGTTTACGAAGAGACTGTCGGCGCGTATTTTAAGTAGGTACGCGCAGGAGACTTAAACATATATTATTACTACTATAATAATAATAATAATAATAATAATAATAATAATAATAATAATAATAATATTATTATTGTACGCAGTCACCACGGCGGCGTTCTTCCTCCCTCGCTTCCGCTGTATAGAAATAATAATAATGATTGTGTAAATATGATTTAATATTCTGAAATCCAATCAAGTGTTGAAAGGTTACGGATCCGAATTTGTTTTGCATATAATGATAACGTGAACGTGCAGGGGTATTTTATAATGATCATAATAATAATATAATATATACGTATAGACCTGAATATATAATAATGATAATACAGCTACAGCCTTCGGGGGCCGTAAAAACTTTCTTCGGATAACATTGTCGTTATTTCGTCGTCGGCCTATTCATTCGAGGGCGGTTATATGCAGTCTCTAAACCATAACTAATTTCGAATAATTAATAAGTGAGACGACGAGGGTTAGAATAATTAAACAACGGACTGTTGGTGTTTTGAATGAGCCGCTGAATTTCGTCGTCGGTGTGACCTCGAAACGCCGCTCCGCGGTTTGGTGGCCACTCCGACGCGATTATACAATGAATTTGGCGACTCGGCACAATAATGTCATTATTATTTAAGTAATATAATAATATATTTTATACTATTATGTCGAATACGCATGTGCGTACGTGCCTATCGTTATGCACAAAATATGTAATGTAATGTGTATCAGCGGTGGTGGCGCAATCGGAATTTTTCAACGAGAGGAGGGGTCCAAGAAGAATGCTAGAAAACCTATAAGTTATAACTAGGTTATATTATAATATTATGCCGAGAATAGAGCTGGGAATGTAATGCCCTATAAAAACCCCGAAAAAACTTGTGTGTTCTGAAATTTTTAAATAATGCACCTATAAAGTGCACTTTATACTTTTTTTTATTTTAAACAGGGATGGAAGCAAAATAACAATTTTTCTATTTGCATTTAGTAAAAAGTTTTTCAGGATTGCACAGTTTCTAATAGTAGAAACTTGAGCTTTTAATTTGAAAAAAGAATCATTCTCATTTAATTTTCCATCGCCAATAGTACCTAAACTAGATCTATAGGGATTCTGTTCAAAAAATTACGATCAATAATATTCGATTAGTTAAAACGTCACAAAGTTACTTTTTTAAACAAAAATCTTAAAATGAAACGTAAAAAAACCCAGATTTTAATTTGACCCTCTTAAAAGACTGAAATGTTTTTAAAAATGAAAAAAATGACATTGAAATAGAAAATTGTCGAAAAATGCCAAAAAATGCAAAATAAAAACTTCTTATATTTTAATTCAAAAATTCACGAAACATATATGTCATAAATAATTACCAACCAGTGTATCTGGCTAGTGGCTTTGGAAAACAATGCAAAGTGCACCAAAGTTACAGCCTTATAATTATAATCATATAATAAATTAAAAAATTGTTTACAAATTAAATAGAGTGATTATCATCACTTATCATCATAAGTTTATTCAAATTCTGATTTTTGGAAATTTTATGTGTCATTGCTACGTATGTATGTATGCGTTATTGCTCTGAAATGTCCCGTTAATTTTGTTGCGTGTTCTTACATTTTTTATCTAACCACGTCAAATTTACAACTACCTAAAGTTTTAATTCTAAACTATACCTTATCAATAAAATAAAATAAAATTGTGTAATTTAAACTAGGTACATCTCTATCAGAAGACTTCTCTAAATCCACCTCCTTGGGGCGCAACAGATACAATATATTTGTCCAAGTATATATTCAACGAAACCACCATCCCCTCCCCATATCACATCGATGGAAACGACTACACAGCTGAACCGTAATCGATTATTATAATAATATATTGCAGTTTGAATTAATCTACAAACATACTATTATTTATTGTTGCGATCTGCGTGGACATTGATTCAAGTGGACACAATTACATAATATATTATAGGTACGCGTTTTCGGGGCCGCACACATAATATAGAGAAACAAAAGAAAAAGAAACGTCGTAGTACACTTCGAGAACGTGGTCTACCGTATAAGACCTACGGCCCAATAATTATTGTCATCGGGATCGATCACGTACCCATATGTTTAGGATAATATGCGAAGGTCGATTTGGACAATTTGATTATAGATGTCAAACGGTGGTGGCGCCGCCATTATAATACAATGATTTTGTTCGCGTGTAAGTCAAGTAAAACATATCGATGTTATAATAATGGGGGCCAGTTGTAATATCAAATATGTTATAATATTATATAATTGGTTGAGGGGAATATGTATAATATACTGCGTTCTTTTTTATTTACCATCAGAGAATATAACAAATTAATTGATGCATTTTGACAAATATAATAGTTCAGTAGACGCTGCGTATTATAAGACACGTGGATATATGGCTCGGTAGTTAATAGACTCAAAATCGTCTGGAACGTCCAGGAAACATTGAAAAATAAATCGGTTATACGACTCACCACTTCGGTTAAAAGACTCAAATTTCGTAAAAAAAAATC